ATCGACAACCACACACAGCAGCCACAAACACACACCCTAAAGACATCTACAACCACCCACAACAGCCACAAACACACACCCGAAAGACTTATCTACAACCACACACAACAGCCACAAACACACACCCTAAAGACTTATATACAATCACACGCAACAGCAACAAACACACACCCTAAAGACTTATCTACGACCACACACAACAGCCACAAACACACACCCTAAAGACATCTACAGCCACACACAACAGCAACATACACACACCCTAAAGACTTATCTACGACCACACACAACAGCCACAAACACACACCCTAAAGACTTATCTACAACCACACACCCTAAACACACAACAGCCTCTCCCACACACCTGGAAGCGTTGTTGTCGCAGCAGCCGCTCGCCTGCATGCGCACTGGCCACCACTTGACCCCACGAGCGCTGTTTGCGTTTGAGTGTCTGCACAAAGATGATGAACTGCACAGCCACAGCCGTTGACGCTGTGTCAATGGTCATGGCTTCCAGCTGAGACCGCTCCTGAGATGAAAGGCGCGTGAGAGAGAGAGAGAGAGAGAGAATGAGAGAGAGTATGTGTAGGTATATGTGTAGACATATCTGCAGGTATGGGTGTGCGAGTGGAGGATGTAGTGCATGTGCATATGCCCGTTTGTATCGGTGGGGGTTGGTGGTTGTACGAGGGTATGACTAAAGTGCAGTGTAAGTGATGTGCTGCTCTCTAAGCATACATGGCCTGTGTCAGTATGTCTACGTTTAGAGGTGCGCTGCAACCGCATTTCAGTAGCCTGAATGCCTTTAATCAACAACTCACATACACACACTCTCCCACACACAATTCCCTATCGCTTATACGCCATCTGTGCACATAACATACACAGACTAAAGGCCAAGTAACGTGCACTCACCTTCTGCAACACGGCATTGAGGTCGTTCATGGTCTCTGCCAGCTGAACACCGTACTTGTGCAGAAAGGACTTGTGCCAGGAATCGTACTTGTTGTTGACATTCGCCTGCACTTTCCCATAGTCGATCACCACGTTGCCAAAGGTCTTGGTGGAGTACGCGTTATCGAAGGTGCTATGATGAGGTAAGGGAAGGCGAGCAGGCAAAACAAGAGGCAGGTTGGCTTAGGACAATGTTGCCTAGATTGATTAGTGTATACACACCCAACCCTTCAGTACAGTACGAACACTGTCATACTAAACATGTGCCATATCAAAACGAGGACGAATTTCACCCGACCATAGAGCTGAAGCTATATTGCGATATATATATATATATATTAAATACATACTTACATACATACATACATACATACATACATACAAAAATACATACTTACAAACATACATACATACATACATACATATATACGTACATACATATACTTATATATATATATATATATATATATATATATATGTGTGTGTGTGTGTCTGTATGTGTGTGTGTGTATATATATATATATGTGTGTATGTGTATGAGTCTGTGTGTGTGTGTGTGTATCTATGTGTGTGTATATGTATATGTATATGCATATGTATATGTATATGTTGAAGTATATGTATATCTATGTGTGTACACATACATATACATC